AAGCGTGAATCACTTACTCCAGGGCAGAAGAATGTTAAAAATGATCCTTTAGTGAACCCTGACGACATACTTTTACCACCGTTGCATATAAAGCTCGGCCTGATGAAAAATTTTGTAAAAGCTATGCCTAAAGATGGCAGTGGATTCTTATACCTGAAAGAGAAATTCCCCAAACTCAGCGAGGCAAAAATTAAAGAGGGAATATTTGTTGGTCCACAAATACGGCAACTAATGAAGGATACAAACTTTGAAGGAAAGCTGAATGATCAGGAAAAAGTCGCCTGGAAATGTTTTGTGAATGTTGTCCAAAATTTTCTAGGAAACCATAAAGCGGAAAATTACAAAGACTTAATCAATGAGCTTATAATTTCATACAAAGCTTTGGGATGTAATATGTCTTTAAAAATACATATGCTGCACTCTCATCTGGATTTCTTTCCCGAGAATTTGGGTGCTGTGAGTGACGAACAAGGCGAGAGATTTCATCAGGACATTTCCTTAATAGAAATGCGCTATCAGGGAAAATGGTGTCTTGGAATGCTAGCAGATTACTGTTCGAGACTTAAAAGGGACCCACCAGAAGCCAAACATTCACGAAAATCATAGCTATTTATTGTACATTAAGGAATATTTTTTCTAAGTGTTAGTGATTTTTGTACTTTTTATAAAAATATATGTCTTGATGTCACAAAGAAACCTGATGTGTCAATTTTTTTCCATTGATATATTATTGTTTGGTGGCCATAGTACATTCAAAATTTGGTATAAGTTTTCGTGTGACAAAAAAAAGTTTAAATTTTGTTGACCAGTGTTATTAAAGAATGGCAATTTAGATATGTATACGTGTGGTCAGGGAAAACAACATTTTAAATTTTCACGAAAATCATAGCTATTTATTGTACATTAAGGAATATTTTTTCTAAGTGTTAGTGATTTTTGTACTTTTTATAAAAATATATGTCTTGATGTCACAAAGAAACCTGATGTGTCAATTTTTTTCCATTGATATATTATTGTTTGGTGGCCATAGTACATTCAAAATTTGGTATAAGTTTTCGTGTGACAAAAAAAAGTTTAAATTTTGTTGACCAGTGTTATTAAAGAATGGCAATTTAGATATGTATACGTGTGGTCAGGGAAAACAACATTTTAAATTTTAATTGTTCGTACACAAAAAGACAATTATTTCTTAGTTACCCTGAGGAATTCTCCATGAAATTTAATGAAAATAAATCGGAAAAATATACGTCCGTGGGGTATAAGATATACCTCATAAAGTACGTTTCTATCAAAATTTGTCAACTTACAGTGATAAAAATAATATATCGAGTCACGGACGTATATTTTTCCGATTTATATGGTGCCTACAGTACCTGCCTTAGTTTGAGAGGAAAATGCTGTTTTCTTAATAACGTAAAAATATTACCTATCTTGAAATTTGCTTCACAATTACAATAATAATGTAAGTGGCCAATTTTTGATGTAGGAACAAATTTAAAAAACCTTAAAAAATTTTGCTGAGGTATTTTTGTGATAAATATTTGAGGAAAAGTTATCAGTAGGCTTAGTACACGTGCAGAGTCTAACAGGGCCGGCGCCGGGATCGGTGGCCTTCACAGCTGACTCGCGTTTTGAACTGTTCAGTTATTTATGGAACCTTGTAGTAGTTGGTGTCGCACCTTTCTTATTTACGTCTGCTGTAAAATGTATTCGAAGTGTGTATTTAAATAACTATTTATAAATAGTAACATAATTTACATTAACAACTATTAGTTTGATGGAAAAGTAAAATGCCAAAAGAGAAAAGAAATAAACAGGAATATTTCAAATGTGGTTTGACCGTGATCCCGAAGATTACAGGGACATACGTATTAGGAAATGACCTGTTTTGTACTGATGTGAACGCATTGTAAATTCTTGTTACAAAATTAAAGTGACAAGACATGCCTCCTCCAGCGCTGAAGACGATATTTTTCTATGAACATACATACTGCCCGTTGTCAATAGTAGACGTTCAAAGGTTATTTTCCCTACACAAGTTAAGTGATAAACGTTGCCGTTTCACTAAAGAAAACTTAGAAAAGCACGGAAGCCTTGTCTCAACACTAAGGTTTATCGGATAAGTGGTGTCATTAAAATTTACACATGTATTTTTTCCTCTACTTAGCCTTGCACTTTGGTAATAGTACTATATTGCGACATATTTTCTGTAAACATATTAATATTTTCGTTCGTAATCTGACTACGGTCCTGTAAAACTCCACGCCGCACTAAGCCTAGTTATAAGTCTGTTTATAAAACCTAAATAACTTGGGATATTAATTCCTTGAAGATAGGTGGGTTGCTTATGAAGCATCCTGTATACGAAACTTACTTTATTCCCGATAGATCATCTTAAAAAGTACCTTTATTAAACTTTTAGGTAAAATGTTCTGGGTACATAATGGGCAGCAGTTTATAGAAGACAGTCCAAAATCTATAACGCACTATGGTCTTCCCGATTACCTTCAAGAAATAGACGCAGTTCAAACTTGGGGCAGAAATGGTAAACCTATTTTCATATTATCCTCAAGTCATACTAAAGATTTTTCCTTTCAGGAAAAACGTATTTTTACAGAAGGGAAAGATTCTGGAGGTACAACGAAACTGCCAAAGCCATGGATCCAGGATATCCCTTACACATGGAAAGATGGAAGAACATACCAGAAAATTTAGACGCTGCTACTACCTGGAAAGATGGTTAGTATCGAACTGCTATTGTTGAAGTTTCAATATTAAGAGTATTCCCTAGAAGCAAGTCAACCATACCATTCTTATTTGAATAGTGCTCACTGCATATGTTTAATCCAAGCAGTGTGGCAGTGACAACTTCCATTTCATCTTTAATTTGTCTCAAACTAGTCTAATCCTGTATGGACGCTATCTTCAGTAAACCTGTTAGGTTTCCCTGCACAAGTAGGCCAGTACAAGTTGACTGTTGTATGTGGACGATAAAACTGATACCTGCACAGGTGACATAAATGAAATTTTAACAATATACACTTGCATTGATAAATCTGGACGTACGTAAGATACATGACCTTCGGGTCAATTGTTATATCGTGTTGTGAAAGGGGTTGAAAGAGTATTTCGTAGGGATAATGCCAGTTAAGTAGGCTACACATGTTTCAGTAAACCTTTATAAGCGTAACCTGTGCAGACATATCGGGATTGGTATGGATAGTAACTATAAAGTATTGAAATACATGGAAACGAGTCATGTGTGTGTCATATCCCGTCGTCTTCATTGGTTCTTCTCTCACTAGTTCTCGCTAAAGTAACCCCGATCCCGAAGAATTGGATTACTCATCATGGATTGGAGTCTTTCGCTAGTCGACTTACTTCCATTGCGGCTCTCTTTAGCTCGATCTCGGACCTTGAAATCTAGACTTGATATTATCAGGGGATTTTTTTGTTGCATAGAACTGTACTACAAGTATACACTCTTAATGACCATCGCACTGAACCTTTTCTCAATGGTTTATTTTACCACTTTTGCAGTTAGACACTTTTTGTGTCCTTTTACTATTTTTTGGTTTGGCTAAATAGGCCTGAGCAATATGAACGCTAGATTAATAATCTAGATCTGAGCCTGAGCTTCTAATAATCTATAACACTTTTTTATTGATTATAAAAAGTTTATTCGGATTGCTTGATTAACAATATATGGTTTCAAAATATGCAATTAAACGTACACAATTCATGTTAATGAACACTTAGGGTTGTACTTGGTAACCAAAGTCGACTTTCTAACCGCTTGAGGCGAGGCGTCAAGTCCTAAGGTAGAACCTCGGAACGATTTGTAACAATTGGGGAAAATTTTAGATTTCTAGAAGGCAGCTTATTCTCGTGACATGGGTCTACCAGAGATTATTTATTAATATATAATAATATTAATTTATATTTACTTAAGAAATTTAGATAAAATTAATTTTAACAAAATGTTTTCTTTAATAATTTACATAATTGTAAGTATGATGGTAATTTTTCAGGTGCAACATACTTTTTCAAAGGAGAATTGTTTTGGAAATTTGACAATTACTTTGTGACGGCTACAGATGAATCCCCGATGCCAACGGCGCAAATATGGTTTGGATGTGCTGAAGACGAACAAAAGATGATACGATTGTTCCCGGAAAACTTCAGTTAATATCATGTTTTCGTTTAATTAGCTTAATATTAAGCTAACATTAATAGTAGTATAAATAAGATAAGCTAAAATTGACTGGTAATCCCTATATTGACAATGTTTGAACTTGAAACTGTTATATTTTAAAATAAGTGTCGAATGTTAACGCATCCAAAATTAAATAATTTTTATTTATAAGTGATCTGAAATCGTATGCACTTTACTGACTCTCTTGTACTTCTTTATGTTCGAAGGACAATTTGATCCACCTCAATTTTGAGAACTGGGAGGAAATAGAGAAATATGTAGGTGTGACATCCTGTCTATGCGATGAATTTACAAAATATACAATCATATATCTTTGCCTAACTACTATAGTTAATATATACAGGATGTCCCATAAATAAGTGTAAAAATTTTAACTTATTAAAACCTGTTAATTTTGAGGAAAACATAATTTTAAAAAACCCCAAATTTTTGTTACTCACCACTGGAGCATAAGCTGAAATGTTTCGTTGAGTTCATAAAAAACAGAACAAAACACAAAAAATGACAGTTAGTGATAGAATTTACACCAGTTTTAAGATATTAAGACTTCATTTTAAATGCGTGGTTCAAATTTTGGAACTTAATTCTAGGACACCTCATATATTACTCTAATTCTAATCAAATGTTTGCAGTTTCCATGACACATCTAGAAAATTCAGAAAATTTGTATTTTCCTTAGTAATCATGAATTGCAAAATTTCCTTTTGTCATAAAAAACTAAAACATATTACAAATTCAAACAAAAAAGACAGTTATGTAAACCTGATTGGATTTCTGTAGCATTTTCTGATAAACAATATATTTCAAAAATTTTATTATTCAAAAGAAACAAACTTTATGAACAAACATAATATACAGGGTGGTCCGAATTTTATGCAGGAAACTTCGAGGGTAGATACCTTATAAACATAGGTCTGGAACGGCTTCGTTTTAGAGATGCAGGGTGTTGAAGTTTAAAAAAAATATATTTTTTGTTTATATCTCAGGAATCTATTAACCAATCTCAATAAAATTTGGTACAAATAATGTACGATAGTAGGCCTTGCATTCCTGAAATATGAGCTCTAAAGGTTTAACCAGTGGTGTACAACTGGACAGGGGTCACCCCATTTTTATAAAACAAACCTACGCCACTGTATTTTTCAAGTCACCTTTTTTACGCATTTAGTGCATTAGAATATAAATCCGTTACAATAACTAGTAAAAAATACAGTGGCATAGGTTTTTTTTATAAAAAGGGGGTGACCCCTGTCCAGTTGTACACCACTGGTTAAACCTGTACATTATTTGTACCAAATTTTATTGAGATCGGTTGATAGATTCCTGAGATATAAACAAAAAATATTTTTTTAACAACTTCAACATCTCTAAAACGAGGCCGTTCCAGACCTATGTTTATAAGGCACACTCCTATTATTTTAAAGAGATCTATCTGTCCTCGAAGTTTCCTGCATAAAGTTCGGACCACTCTGTAGAAAGTTTATATTTTGCAGAAAGATTACAAATCATTTTTTACATTCTCTAAAATATCCTGCGTTAAATATCACAAGTGCAACTAGATGATTAATAATCAAATAACAGATAATCTCTTATCAGTTCTGAAAAATTCAATTGACCTTTAAACAAAACTTGTATCTGTCCACTTTTACTATATGGAACAAATTCATATGAAACTACGTGTTTTTTTAAATAGTATATAAACATTCTTCACATGTATATTGTACAGTTTTACAGGGTGTCCCAAACTCGATAGTATGGTCCTACTGTGAGGATACAAAAAATTTAAATAAAATTGGGGACACGTTAAATGGGATGAGGTAAGCTCCATTTTCAATCGAAAGTATTATCTTTGGGATTTGACAGAAATGACTAATGACGTCATTTTTTTATATGTTTTCCAGAAACATACCCAAAATTTTTTCCTGTTAAAAAGCTCTTTTTTCTAATAAATTTTTATTAGAAAAATTTTTCTGTATTACTTCCCGTTTAAAAGTTATAAGCAATATCGTCCTAAAGAGTCTCAAACGAAATACCACCTAAAAATCACCATTAGCGGTGGAAGGATCAAGTAGTCGTTGGAAAATAAATTGAATGTTCGTTGTTTAAAGTGCAGCATAAATGTCACAAAATACTTGTCATACTCAATACGAACGTCAAAGAACGTCGAGGCGACCTTGCGACGAAATGAAGATGCATTTTCTGCTAGGAAAAATCAAATAATTGACCGAAGGGTAAGAAACAATCAGGCCGAGTATGTATCCCATTTACGCTAAAACGTTATGTTGGAAATAACGTTTGTAAATAACATGCCGTAAACAGCCACTATTTTATGTTAGGTACCTGTTATTTGCGCTCTACGTTGTATTTCTTTCATGTTTCATAACCTAAAAGAACTCTTTTAGTTGTATGTGTTGTCCATTGAGTCGGGTATTTATAATAATTCTGCATTATTATTAATATTAATTAATAATAATAATATTATGTAGGCGAAATACATTCTCAAAGTTCGCCCCTAAAAACAGTTTTTTTCTAAATATCTGGGGTTCTAATCAATATTTTGGAATAAAACAACATGCAAAATTACTTCTTATAAAAAAAAACAGATATTTCATTAGTGATTTCGTGTTTTTTTATTTAAAAAAAAAATATATTTTTCAAATATTTCTTATACCTATATAAAAATTCATATTTATTAAAAAAATTAAAAATATAACTTATGTAAACAAATTAGTAAAATTAAGTTCTCGAACAACCCCCTAGTGAGCGAAAAATGTCTATACGATTAGAATTAACATTACAAAATAAAAACAAATTATTCATATGATTAGAGAAAAAGTAAAGACATTTTTCGCACACTAGGGGATTACTAGGGGGTTGTTCGCCCCCTAAAATGAGAAATTATTTTTGTCAATTTGTTTACATAAATCATATTTTTAATATTTTGAATCAATATGAATTTTTTATATATAAAAAATGTTTGAAAATATACTTAGTTTTCCCGAAATAAAAAATAAGGGTTGCAACCCCCAAATACGGAATCACTTGTGAAACATTTTATTTTTTTTAAAGAAGTAATTTCCATTTTATTTCATTTCAAAACATTGAGACGACACAGAAATACTGTTTTTGGGGGTGAACATGAGGGGTAGTTTGCATCCGTTTAAATCTATTTGCGGCTAATAATAACAAATTATTCGTATGATTAGAGAAAAAGTAAAAACTTTTTATTTTGCAATGTTAATTCTAACCTACAGACATTTTTAGCACACTAGAGGGTTGTTCACGCCCTAAAAAGAGAACTTAATTTTATCAATTTGTTTACATAAATCATATTTTTTATTTTTTTTTAACAAATATGATTTTTTTTATATATATAAAAAATGTTTGAAAACTATAGTTTTTCTGAAATAAAAAATAAGGGTAGCAACCTCCAAACACGGAATGTAATATGAAACCTTTGTTTTTTTATAAGAAGCAATTTCCATTTTTTTCATTCCAAAATATTGATTAGAACCCCACATATTTAGAAAAAACTGTTTTGGGGGGCGAACTTTGAGGATGTATTTCACCCCTAAATATGTTTTTCCGCCGATAAAAAAATATGTCATTTAATTTTTTATGTTCTACAACCGAGTCTACAATATATATAAAAATATTGGAAATCGGAGAGTTCGGGTTGGGGTAGTTTCCTTGTTAGATCCTTCTTCGTTTGAATTAACCTAACAATAATTTTAGGGTAAATACTTACCTAAGTTACTTCAATTTTACAACTTATCTTCGATGTGCGTTTATAAAACCGGCAAGTAAATGTAAATTTAACAAGCCGTTCATTTTCATTACACAAATAACACGTACGTTAAACTATAACACCAAATTCCTTGCTTTTAAGAAACTCTGTTATAATTTAAGATAATGTGTTACAATAGTATATTATTCAACGAGCGTATAATGATGGGTATTATTCACGAGGTGAAGTTTACGGCCACGAGCCGCAGGCGAGTGGCCTAAATCACCGAGTGGATAATAGCCATTATACGGAAGTAGAATACTATACTTTATCCACGACTACTAAATATTTTTGTTGAAGTTTTTTTTGTATTTAGTTCGTTTTTTAACACAATTTAACACAAAATATCAAAACACTGAGAAATCTATGCTCACAAACAATAATGTTGACAGGTTTGAGTCAAATTTGATGAAATGTTTCGAAAAACATGGTATATTAAAAAACAGATATACGACATTAACAAATAAAGTCGCTGATGGCTCAGTGTAGATGCTCCTTCACTTCCAACCGCGGGTGCCGGGTTCGAATCTGGTCTAGGAAAATTCACTTTTTTAATTTTTTTTTATATGTACCACACTGAATTAAAAATATTTAGTGGTTTACACGATAAAATTTTTAAAATCGATTGATTGTAGCAGAACAATATAATATTATAGCTAAATCAAGGAAGCATCAGACAGTAGTGATTAATGACTCATTAATCACTGCCGTGATGAATGGGTATTAATAAGGTCAAGCAAACAGACGTATAATGGGTACATTATACAATAGTCGTGGATAAACTATTTTATCCACGACTATTTCAATCCGTTTTTAAAATTTTATCGTGTAAACCACTAAATATTTTCAATTCAGTGCTGTACATATAAAAAAAAATTAAAAAAGTGAATTTGCCTAGACCGGATTCGAACCCGGGACCCGCGGTTGGAAGGGAAAGAGCATCTACACTGAGCCATCAGCGACTTCATTTGTGCGAGTCGTATATCTGTTTCTTAACATACCATGTTTTTCGAAACATTTCAAAAAAAACTTCAACAAAAATATTTAGTAGTCGTGGATAAAGTATAGTATTCTACTCCCGTATAATGGGTATTATTCACTCGGTGATTTAGGCCACTCGCCTGGGGCTCGTGGCCGTAAACTTCACCTCGTGAATAATACCCATCATTATACGCTCGTTGAATAATATACTATTATGTCGTACTTACCCATTATTTACGAGTTTGCATTTGTTTCTTGTGTCATAACCTAAAAGTCATCTGTCAGTTATATGTGTTTTTGTCTAATACTGTCTCTTGTTTATAATTTTGCATAATTGTTATTAAAAATGTCGACACAAAGGCGTCTTTAAAAAACAACAAAATTGCAATACGAGTATTTGCTAAAAATGGTCTTAATTCGTCAATAACGTGCACGTTATATCTTAATAGTTAACGTCAACCTTAACGTTTAACCCTGAAATAACATAACTGTTATTATGATAAAATGGGATACATACTCGGCCTGAATGTTAATATAGCTAGACTGTTACAGTATTTCGAACAAAATCTACGAAATTCTATATGGCAGGCTAGCCGGGAATTGAATTTGGATAAATCAGCCGTTCAACAATTTTAAAAACCAACGGCTGACTACAAAATTCACAATTTGGAATATTTGTCTGAGCGTCACATTGAATACAGACTTAATTTTATAGCTCAAATTGTAGTAAATGTAGAAACTGTTGATCAGAACATTTTTCGGCACATTCTTTGGACAGACGAAAGTCGGTTTGTCAGTAATGGTTTGCTAAACAGGTGCAACGAACACTACTGGTCTAT